TTTTTGACACATAAACGTATAACAAAGAACTTCTCATGTGTATATCGTAAAGCTGGTGTGTGCAATCCTGCACAGAACCCCATTTTTTGTTCAGCCACATCTGCTGAGTATAACGATACTCCCATTGTATGCCTTTCTCAATTTTCTGTAAAGCTACAGTGCCATATAAGAGACAAGGCTATTTCAGTTTCTATAGTTAGATTTTCCGTAGATGGATTTGACAGGTCCATGTCTCATGTTAGGGTATTCTAGCAGTGTGACTGTTCAAATAATCCCACAAAAGGCTTTCATTTGATAAAGCAGACACCCCATGGTATCTTATATGATGTATATTATGCCTTAACTTGTCACTATTTTTTCATCAATTTATGTCAATGTTTGTGGTGAGGGGGGGTGGAATGGCATTTTTACATATATGTTGCATTTTGCTGAGTATTTCTTACACTTAATATGTACCACTGTCATACAAATCCCCAAATTATACTCAGTTACACCTTCTGAGTAAATCAATATGCCCAATATATGACCTAGACACTATTTTGTGAAGTTACAGTGTTGTAAAAGAGACGTGACAAGTTCAGGTTTTTAAGTGTGAATTTTCATGGAGGGTTTTGATGCATCCGTGTCCCACTTTGGAGCACGTGAGCAGGCTACATATTACAACTACACCATAAAGCCATACCATTTCTTAAAGAAGACATCCCAGGGTATTTCAAAAGGCATATTTTGAACCTTAGCATGGGATCATTTTTCCGCTAGCTTGTACCAAGTGTAGTGGTAATAAGCGGTTTTTTTTTTTGTCTTGACACACAAAGTGAGTTTGCACAATAAATTTTGCAAACCTTATGTGTGCTACAACTGTATAATACTACATATGCTGCTCAGCTATGTCGTCTGAGTACAGCAATACCCCTGTATGTACCTTTGCCAGGTATACGTGGACATGGAAGGAGCACATTTGAGACACCGCCACTCCAGTTTTTTTCAAACTTAAAATTTTTATGCTGTGCCCATGTCCCATTTTATAGTATTTCACCAGGCTATATAATCCAAATACCCAATAAATGCATACCATTTCTTAAAGAAGACATCCCAGGGTATTTCAAAAGGCATATTTTGAACCTTGGCGTGGGATAATTTTTCTGCTAGCTTGTACCAAGTGTAGTGGTAATAAGCGTTTTTTCTGCCTTTTTGACAAATAAAGTGAGTTTCACCAGTATTTTTTTTTTATGTGTGCTACGACTGTAAAATACTACATATGTTGCTCAGCTATGTTGTCTGAGTACAGCAATACCCCCTTATGTACCTTTGCCAGGTATATGTGGATGTTGAAGGGACGTAGTTGAGACGCAGCCATTCAGTACTTTTCTAACTTTGAAGTTTTACGCTGTGTCCATGTTCCATTTTGGAGTAGTTTAGATGGTTGGTTATTGAAACTTCCCCACAAACACATACTATTTATTAAAGAATACACCCTGGGGTAATTCAAAGGGCGTATTTTGAACCTTAGCGTGAGCTCATTTTTTCTCTAGTTTGTTCCAGGTGTAGTGGTAATGAACATTTTTAAATGTATTTTATTTACTTTTTTAAACTTTTTTTAATTTTTAAAACTAGTTTTTAAAGTTTTGATTTGCTTATTATTTTTTTAAACTTTCCTAAACTTTCTTAAAACTTTAAATACAGATTTAACATTTTTATAAGCATTTTTTTTAACGTTAACCCCTAACTAGCAGTAAATTCCCCACTTTCCCATAAATCCCACCCACCCCAGCTAGCAAAATATATAATCATAAAATATTAAAATTAATTAAATAAATTGAACCCCTGTGGGTTAAAAAATAAATAAAAGTTAATCGTCAGGGGTTAAAAAAAATTAGATCACAGTATAATACTGTGATCTGTATTTTGATCACTGTAGGCAGTGATCGACTGTCAGGGAAGGGGTTAATTTTTATTTGGACTGGGTAAAAGGGGTGTTTTTTATTATTTTTTACTTAAACGTTTTTACTTTTTAAAGCTTATTTTAAAACTTTTTTTAATGTTAACCCCTAGTTAGCCTAACACCAAATCTCCCAATTCCCCACTAATTTCCACCCACCCCAGCTAGCTAACTATATAATTTAAAAATATTTAAATTAATTAAATATATTTAACCCCTGAGGGTTAAAAAAAAAAAAGAATTTACCCTCAGGGGTTAAAATAAAAAAAAAATCAGATGACAGTAAAATGTATTCCTTGCTGATTGATCACTGTAGTCAGTGATCAATTGGCAGGGAAGGGGTTAATTTTTAATTAAAATGGGTAAAGGGGGTGGGATATTGATTAAACTTTATTTTATATATTTTTTAACAGGGAGATGATCAGCTCTGATCCGTCTCCCTGCACTTCACAGTGAACCCCGAAGTGCAGGGAGGCAGATGGTAAGTACATGCAGCACATGTGCTCACTCTGACAGCCTGTCAGAGCGAGCACTGCTGCAGGGGCAGTGCGATCGGGTGCTCCCGGTCTGCCTCTAATACAGAGGCAAAACGGAGCACCATTAACCCCGCGATCGCCGCAATTGCAACGATCTGGGGTTAATTTTAACGCATGATGGACCTGGTCCATCACTCGTCGTAAAGGGTCTCCCCTGAGTGACGCCACGAAGGGGTTAAGAGTTAAATAACTTTGTTTCTGTTTATGAAGTTCTAGCCACACCTCTCCTGGCTGTGACTGACAGCTTGCATGAAAAGAATGGTTTCTCTTTCAAGCAGATATAACTTACGTGAAATGTTTTTATCTCCTGCTCTGTAAAATTTAACTTTAATGACACACATGCGGCTCCTGCATGGTATAGCAAGCTATTAACAGAGTAGGAGGTAAAACAATTTAAATTAAACAGAATTTACACTAAAGGAAGTATAAACATTAGATGACTCTTTACAGGAAGTGTTTAGGAAGGCAGGGAAGTCACATGCAGGAAGGTGTAGCTTGGGCTGTAAAATAAAGTGACTTAACTCCTAAATGGCAGAGAATTGAGCATTGACACTGCAGGGGCATGATCTATACATCAAAACTGCTCCATTAAGCTAAAGTTGTTTGGGTGACTACAGTGTCCCTTCAAATTTGATGCTCTAGGAATTGCAGAGACATACATTTTGGTGTGGTTTATCATTAAGTTTAGGAGCATTACCATATCTTCAGACAACGAAACAAGACACACATATTATTTGATAATGATGATGGTCTGCCATTGTGTATAGGTACAAAATATATAACTTACAAAAATAGCGCAAAATATAAAACTTACAAAAATTTTATGTAATCAAAAGTTATATCTTGCACATACTAAACAAAGATTCCTTTATTATTTTTACTTTGTGTACACATGCATAATAGAAAAGGTAAATGTTTATATCTTGGAGAAGATGATTTTAAACTTTCATTGAACAATGCACATCATGTTCTGCATTATTTCTGTTATTTGTGCGTGAGAAACACTTCATGTCTATGATAACTCAGAATTAAGTTTTATTCCTAGTGCATAGGCCTAAAGATTTAAAGGAACGGTACAACCACCATAACCACTACAGCACACTATAGAGCCCATGCGCCCACCCATCTCAACAGTTTGAGTTCTTACCTAGGGTATGCCAGGTTCCACCTCCACTACAGCAGCCTGAGGGCCATAAGGTCTTCCTTAGGAGTTGAATTTAGTTCTGCTGAGCTAAGCCCTGGCTGAGAGCATTAGGTGATCACTCTTAAAAAAGCAAAAAGTTAGGCTAACACCTCTCTGGCTGATGTAGTGGTGGTAGGGTGTGGCACCCGGTGAACTACAGGTTAGAAGTCCTTAGTGGTTGACTCTTTACATTGGAGGGGGTGCCAGGGCACTCCTGATAACATAACTATTACAGTGCACTGTAGTGCGTATGGTGCGTGGAATGTTTCTTTAATTATAATGATAATCCATTCACTCTGCAGTGAGAAAGCAGAAGTGGTTTAATAGTTTTGAATACTAAAGCTGGGATTGTCTAAGAGTAATGAGAAAGAAGCAGAGAGAGGGAACAGAAAAGTAGGAAATAGCCAGGAAGAATACAGCATTGGGTTCCTTGAGGTCTGGAGTCAAAATAACCGAGCACTGCACTTGAGGCATCAGTGCTGCAATAATCTGCAGCCCCACGACCGATAAAGATGCCCAAATGCTGCTCAGTATTGCATTGGACACATGAGTTGAAACAGAAAAGTTAGACATGAGTATGGTGCGAAGGATGCCGACGCAGCTTAGAACCTAGAGGATCAGATGGTTGACTTCCCCTCCACCTCCATGACACATTTGAACCACTCGGGGCATTTGTTTTTGTTGATATAGATAGAGATATATATATATATTTATTTGTGTTAGGGGAACAAAAGGCTGTAAAGAGTAACAGAAAGTAAAGTATTGTTAGCGGAACACAGAATATAGGAAAGTCGGTTGTGGTGTGCTTGAACAAACAAGGCGGTAGGCCTGTAAATAAAGAGGGCCCACCCTTAAAATTGTGTAAAGGTATATGAAGTGAATAGAGGGAGTGGAGGGAGGAGCCTGCAAATCGCCAGACCAGGTAACGGTGCAGGAGAAGGTGTGGAGCAAGAGGTAATTAAGCTCTACCCACAACACCAGGCAAAGCCGTAACATTTGTGTTGGGGCACAAAAGGCTGAAAGTAAAAAGTAAGAGAAAGTAAATTAGTATTAGCATAACACAGAATGTTGGAAACTTGTTTGTGGTGTACCAGAACCGACGAGGCGGTAGGCCTGTAAATAAAGAGAGCAAAAAGGTGATACAGGCAAAATATTTATTACAATCAATAAATATACTTATTTACAATGTCATTTGATAAAGGCTTGACTGAGTTCTTGTGCCAGTTGCGGAATGTACCGCGAAAAGGCTGAGGACTTCCAGTGTCCTAATGTTTTAATACTATGGACTGGTATATTTCTGTTTAATGCCATGGATTCTGCCACAATTCTAAAAGAGTGACCAGAATAATTAGTAGGGTTAAGACCCAGCCTCATGATTAATGTCCTGATGTGTAGTATGAGTTTTACTGTTGAAAGAACAGACCCTTGCAATGATAGTAGGGGTCGTGATGGGTTATTACATGGGGAGAATAAGTAGGTATCTAATACTCTTAACGGGCGCCATTTATTATGAGTAGGGTAGAATGGAATATCAACCTGATGGCCAATTTGACTTGTTTTAGTGAGGGGTATTCAAAGTATGAAATGGCCTTGCTGCTTATTGATATGTGACCATTTAAGACAATACTGGATGTTAGTTGAGGTTTTTGTAGTGAACTCTCGTGGTCTAAGAAAGCCATAATACACCAGATACATGGTGACTTGATTAGTTTGAGGTTCGAAGGGGCCAGAGTCCTATAGGTCTGATAGGGATTGGAATTATTGATTGTGGATAGGTAATCTTTTTTGTGGTTGGGCAGTGCTGGATTTTTGAATGCCTCTCAGGATGGTTTTAATTTGGTAGGATAATAACTAACTAGGGTTGTTGGGCATTTAGTATGTGATTCTGTATGCCGGTCATATATAATTGGATGGTATTGGATCACTTCTTCTGGTTTTCCTGATGGTGGCATTAAGCTAGATGAAGTGTGAGATAAAGTATAGTATACATAATAGTCAAAATATGATTTTAATTTTCTACAGGATTCTTGCAATTCCATTGTTCCAAACAAAAGCATTTAGTTCATTCACAAGTTTCTATCACAGCTAATCTTTCCTTTGCTTAATGCTTACTGGTGTTTGCTAATCAATCAAAATCCGTTTGGAATACTGCCAGATTGTTGAGAACAGTACAGATTCAGAAACTGCATGTCTCCTGCTCCTGGAGTAGACATATATTCTCTAAAAACTCTCCCGTGGATTAAATATATTGGCAGATGTTTCACAAAGTGTTCTGTTCTAAAATGCAGTCCAAAGTACTAAAAGTAGGGAAATCATCATGAAAACCAATTTTGTACCACTTTTTAGACCAAAAACATTTGATAAATCCCCTCTAATATATCTGCAGCAATGTTGCCTAGTAAAATGGTAACCATTTTCAAATGGTTTCAATCTTTACAATAAGTGCAACTCACTGGTTTATATCACGTTTGAATGTTACGTAGACAACTTTAGCTGCGCCAATGGGAAAATTCTTGAGATTTCTTAGCAATCTGACACAAATCTTAAAACAAGTTGCAAAGTCTTGGGGGTACATTCAGATCACATCATGTACCTATTTTAAGGTATGTAGATAGTCAAGACATTTCAAAAAAATTCAGAGATGCTTCAGTATAGAGCCAAGTCACATATTTTCAAAAAGTATTTTTTGGTTTTGTCAATTTGGATTTATCTGTAATTTGACTGTAATTTGTCTATATTGTTGAAATATAGACAAAAGCTCAGAGCTGAGAATCTTACAAGTTGCAGAACTTTTTTGAAAAACTGGAGAATAGAAAACATGTTACAATGAACAAAAAAAAGTATAATCGCTATCAAATCAATGTTCAATCAAGAGCTGTCTATCAAAGAAGGAAAGAAAAGGAAAATAATAAAGGACAATTATCAAAGAAAATAATCTAGCTTTCAAAGTCCCCAGAACGCAAACATCCTGAAACTGTCTGAGACTTTTAACCTCTTTGTGATATGTTTTTTTTTATTGTCATAATGCACATATAAGACCAAATTACCTTTGTTACAAAGGTATGGGATCTTCAAAAAGCTCTGGCCACTAAGGGGTTAAACTTTCTGCACAATATTGCACACTTTATTATTTATATGGTGTCAACATACAGCTGATATCCTCCATGAACCCTCTCCTGCCTGTGCAAACACAAAGATAAAGCACCGCACTTACAGCAGCAGTGGCTTAGTATCCAACAGCTTAAAATACATAGTAAAAACAAAGAAAACGTTACCTGCGCTCTGGCCTAAATCCCCATGTGCATTTAAACAAAAATGGAGGCTCTTTAGTTTTATTCTAATGGCCATTTGAATATATAAGCTCACCAGCCACGTCAAGGCAAGCCTCAATAGGTGAGTTCCTACACTAGCCATTAGATATGCTGATATCAGCCAAGAGTCTCCAGTGAGACCGGAAGGGGTATTTTATAAACCCTTTAACATTTAACCCTTCATAGGGCTTCTGCACATACAATAAACTTTGCTGATATCAGACAAAGTGAGACAGAAAGGGGTGTTTTATAAACCCTTTAACATTTAACCCTTTATAGGGCTTCTACACATTCAATAAACTTTTCTGGTATCAGACAAAGTATAGACGTCTCTAATGAGACATGAAAGGGTGTTTTATAAACACTCTCCTGCCTGTGGTCTAACTGAAAACAGTGGAAGCAATTCCCACTGACATCATCTCACTAAAAAGAGCCATAATAACTTTACATCATTGCAGGACTCAAAACTTCCACTCGTCCCCTCACAGGCAGTGAGTGGAATGTGAGCCAGGGTGAGCATGATTAGGCACCCACGGCTGTATACTGCTTGCAGCTGCCAGGTTTCAGGAAGCTGAAAGGGACTCTGGGAGCTCAGGGATCAGAGGCCCTGCTGGTGCCATTAAACCTTAGTAAGTAGCTGTCCTTGGGCTAGTTCCAAAGATCTCTCCCAGTCACTTTCACTGTAGTAATGCATAATGACAATACAGAGCAATCAGTGAGGGAGCTGTACACGCCACTCTACACAAGGGATGATGCCCATCTACTCCAGTAAAGCAAACCAGAGGGGACTTTATAGAAAATTAAACTTTACAGACAAGAAGGATAGCGACATGGTGAAGAGAAGGGGCATGTATTGGGAGAGGCAAAGAAAGAAGGGGCAGATGAAAGAGGAACAGGCAGAGATAAAAGAGAATGGATGGACAGATTAAAGGGGAATGTAGAAAGGGAAGAAGGATGGGTAAATAAAGGGGCATATGCAAAAGGGACATTAAAGGAAAAATCAAAAGGGGCCTAATTAAATATATTATAAACTATTAGTCAAGAGAAGTTTAGGGGACAAGAAAAAAAAAACGCACAGACCACGATGAAAGTCTCTTGACTGGTGTATTATCTATATAATACTTTATAAATTACATTACAATTAAATTATATCATACATTACAACTGTGGCCATTACCTGCATTTTGAGTCTCCTTATGTTGTTTTTTTTCTTTTTTCAATTCATTTTTGACGTGCATGAGGGTAACAAGCATTCTCGCTATGCCACAACAGTAAAAGCGAGATAAGAATAAACAATAAGTTTAACAGTCTAGGCATATTGGTATGACTGCACACATTTTTTGTTTTTGTATGAAACAAGCATAGACTTAAAGTTACAACACAAACTGAACATTTTTCGATAAGTATAATGAATAGATATATGCAAGATAAACCTGTCAGGGTGTAGCTAAACACAAGATATGCACATAGATGAGGGATTCCTAACAGGTTATTTGATATGGTGAGAAGTATACAAGAGTATGTTGAGATCAAGCTAGGTAAGCATGTCTAGAGACCAGAGCTATATGTGCAAGCATAGATGACATTCTAGACATGGTGTTTGCTACACAATATTAAGTGTGAAAGCACTGACTGACAGTAGATTTAACGAATAGGAGAGAGAGGTACAACTGGATATTTTAGAGTAAACCACCATTGCTGGTCAATCCACTAGGTAAAATATCTATTAGAGTGTGCTTAACAGCTTATAAGTACCGCTGAATACCGCTTTAGGTAGAAAGTGAATGAATGCAGGTGTGGAGTAATCTAACTCTGTGGTGCCAGTCTGCTGGGGTGTCCTTTTAGGAGCTTTCAGCCCACTCCACATAGAGGCTTTGGGGGAGAGTCCTTCTCCATGGCGAGCGGAACCTGTGTGAGAATAGCCAGGTAGTGTTTGGGGCTGACTTCCCTCCCGCCCTGGATCATTGTAGGGGCCAGCACCACTGAGCCACGGACTCGGGGGCTCTGTGAGTCCAAGTCCTTTCCACAAGTGGGGTTGCATGAGGTCCTGATGTTGCGACACCGGTTCGGGCCAGTGGGCCTCCGCTTACGTGGACGGTGCATCCGGGGTAGACCCTTGGTGGCCCTCAATCCAGGAGGGCAGTTTCTGCGTGGGACAGAAGTGTGCACGAAGCTCGTGTCCGGAGGGGGCCTTTTGCTGCTTTCTTTTCCCGGCTCTGCTCCCCAGATGCTGCGGGTAAGTAGGTAGGTGGGCAGGGGCTGCCATGCGTTCCCTTAGTTAGGCCCAGAACTTGTCAAATATAGCCTCCAGTGAGGTCATTGGGCAGCTGTGGCCTCCGGGGCTGTCATTCTGGTGTTGCTGTAAGTCACTGGGTTGAGGCTTGGACGCGTCCGCCATTTTGATGTCAGGAGCTTCGCTGGAGAGGCTAGTAGTTTCCTCCATGGATGACCCCCACCGGTCCAGAGGGTGGGGGGGTTAGGAGCGTGGCCGATACAAGGTAGGTTGTGGAGCTAGGGGATCGGCCGCCTCCTCTGAGCTCAGTCTGTGGTAGGCCGCAGATTTCCGTTGCGGGCTCTCCGTCACGGATTAGGTCAAGATTGGTGTCGTTCAGTTCAGCAGGTCTCCTCCCAGGTGATAGGGGCACAAGTAGCTGTATTAAAGCTGAGTACCTGGGTGGATCTCTGTGTTTGTAGTTGACAGTGCCGGAGCCTGATTACCATGCGTCCGTTCGGCTTGGCGGCCAGGCTCCGTCCCCATGTTGTTCATTTTCTTAATCTAACTTTTTCTTGAGTTAGTTGTCAAGTCCCAGGAATATGACACATGCAATTCCGGACAATTCAGCTCATTTCAGAGGGGCTCCAATTCACAAACATACTAATATATTACACAAATAATGAAAACAAATCTGGGAAGATGTGGTATTTGGATATAAATGAAAAAAAAAATGTCACAACAAGCACTCAGAAAATCAATCCACATTTTATTAGGCACAAAATCAAACGGGGAAAAAATAAGTCAAACAGAGCTTCCTAAGGTAAAGACATTTTCTATATGTATATGTATAGAAATAACATTTAAAAATCCTAGAATTCTCAATGAACATATTAATTGCTATTTCATTAATGATGTTAAAATAATAATAATAATAGTAGTAATAATAAACTCTAAACGTTGGTCTAAACTGCAGCAGTGTCGCTAGGCTTGATGTCAACCATTTTGGTGACTCATGGGTTCACCTCAAGGCAATGCTATAATACTATCAATGATAGTGCCAGCCTTTGGGATACAGCAGCCTCTACATGGGTCAGCAGAGGTGCCTTGAGGCAATTGCCAATTCTGCCTTAAGGAAGTGTTGACCCTGTTGATGTCACCCCTTCGGATGATGTTACCCAGTGAATTCTGCCCCATCCGTTATGCCAGATATGAACAGCTTTAATTAAAAGGTACACTCCAGACCCCTAAAGCAAATTAGCTTGCTGACGTGCTCTCTGTGAAAGGAATGTGAATTTTATTTTTTTTTAACACAAAGTGCAGATTTCAAATCAACTATGACTATCAAGCAAAAAGCAGGTCCTGTTACTACCTTGTTGCTTAGCTCAGTTGAGCTAAACTCAAAAGGGAGGCAATTGTTCAGAGCACCTGCCTTGCAAAGACTACTCAATGAGGTGCATTAGTAAGTCTATAATTGGACAGCCACAGAAAATCTGGTCTAGGTAAGAAGGTGACGGCTTGCGAAGGCAGCAAACGAGATATATTCTGCTTTTGCAACCTGTTTTAGATATAGCTTGAATGAAAAATGCATGCAAGTTTTAACTTGGGGTTTATCTACTAAACAGTGATTTGTATTTATTTTGACCGTGCAGTGTCCCTTTAACTCCTTAAGGACACATGACATGTGTGACATGTCATGATTCCCTTTTATTACAGAAGTTTGGTCCTTAAGGGGTTAAAGGAACACGCCAAGCACCATAACCGCTACTGATTGCTATAGTGGTTATGGTACAAATCCCATTATAAGAACTCAAACTATTTTTGGATGGTTTGATTTACTAGCTGAGATCTGACGGGCCATCTCCAGACAGCTTAGGTCAAGAGAGCTAACAGGGTTAAATTCCTGCTAAGGAAGTACCAGCCCTCTGAGATGGGAGTTAAGGTAATACAGGTAGTATTACATGGTGGATCCAAATTAAGATTTTAAACAGTTAAAAAACTGTTTGATTAACTCCTTATGATAGGGGGGCATGGCACTCCTTTCAGAATACACACTATGGTTATATGTAATGGTTATGGTGCTTGTAATGTTTTTTTTTTTTTTTAATGATACAGTATTTGCTAGATCATCATACTCATAACTATGCAAGCAGGAACTAGTCTACGTTTGTGCTGATGGTTGCCTATCTTTGCCTAGTGCACTAAGGTTGAATGTTTTGACCTTATGTGCGGAATTGTTCCTCTCTCTTCCCTTTAAAGCAGCACTGTCATAACGTTCTTATCTTTTCCCAATCGCTTTCTCTTCCTCTCTCAGCAGCTATTCTTTTTTTTAAATTTAAAGTAAAGTAAAGGCAGACATGCTGTGTGAAATGCAAAGTGAAGGACCCAGCCTATCTCCTTTTATCCCGTCTGCCCAAGACCTTTAATATATTATATTCAATTGCAGTAATGAATAACTTTGTAGAACTGGATAACTTCCAGAACTGCTCTGGCATTGAGATTTTTTGTTTTCTTAGAAAAAAAAAAAAAAACCCATTGAATTGAAACCCCATTTGGGTTGCTTTGTAGTGAAATGTGTGAAGAGGGGAAGAATAGTTCAGTCGCGAATTCTTAGAATTTCATGATTTCACTAATCTTCTGCAGGGTATTTTAGGTTAGCACAGAAGGGAGTCTGTGTCCCATATACACTTGTGGTTATCCCACCCAATTTTCTGCCGTGTGCAAAATGACCGGCAGGAGGTGCTGTTGTATAGCAGCAGCTCTCCATGCAATTCATGTGAAATAGACTGAACGTTCTGGTTTAGTAATTTGAATAGGGGTGGTAAATAATCTCCCATAATTGATTATCTCTTTTCCATTTCCGGGATTAAAATGAAGACCAAATGGAAATAAGCAAGGGAATACTTTCTGCTTGAAGGGAATTGTCTACATTATACCAGGTTACTAGCAAAGCCACACACGACTTTGGACTCATTTTAATATTGCAGAAATATGTTCCCATATTGTTTACCTTACAATATCCATAAAAAAACACACGCACACACCTTTTATATATAAATATAATATAATATACACACCTATACATTTATATACAAACATGTTTTAATATAAATCAGAGTACAAGACAACTGACAAAAAACTCAGACTGTGCGTTTAAACTCTTACATTGTAATATTACTGAACGGCTGATAGCCCTGGTGCTAGTCATTTAGCACAGGCAAACAACACTCATTTTGAGATGCTGGCCCCGCCCCTAAACCTGCTCCATTGGTCAAGCGTGTCGAGACGCGGACGTCAAAAAGAATGTATTTGCGTCATCGAACGCGGATTGGCCGTGGAACGCAGTCAATCATCCTGATCGTGTATCCCAGTATTTGCGAGTCCGTTTCCAATATTCTGTCAGGATTCGAAGAATTCTAAGAATCCTGGCTATTCTGATAGCTGTCAATAACCTAGGAGAGTAGGGAACCTCCCGCCCAGAGCTTGCCTGGTGCCCAGCATGTACTGTGAAAGCACAATGCCCATAAACAACACTCCTCAGGGATAGCCACAGCCGCTGTCATACGGAGCAGGCCCGCTTGCCCCTGCAGTGCCAGGGGGACCAAGCGCACGTTTACCCTTTCATTGCTTCACAGTCACCAAGAATACTGACAGGTTGCCTTCTGTCTACTCAGAAACGTGCTCATACCCTGTGCCAAGCCCGTCCGCTTCCGCATTATCCGGCTCATTACACCCTAAAGTGTACTAGGGGTGAGCGAGCTCCTTTCCTCATTAAGAGATTACTCCATGACGCAGGCAGGCAGGCACGGCTTACCCGCCGCTGACCCTGTGCGTGGCTGCGGCTTCTATCTGACAGGAGGGAGCGGGTGGGCGGCTGATTTGGGAAAAGGGTAACGTGGAGCACTGAGTATGATGATCCATGAGAGAAAGTTCTGGGAAAGCGCAGCAACAAGTTACCAGTGACCTGCCCGGGTAAATAGCTGTGCTAACAGAAGGGGCGTGTCGGGGAGGAACACAGCAAAAGCCCATATATAAAGTAACCGGAGGAAAAAAGCGCAGACACAGCTAGTGAAGCTCCATAGACTCACTGCTACATTGACAGACAGCCTGCACTCCGGTGACATTACAAGACGTCTTAACACAAGGTGATACCCAGGGTGTGAGATTGGTGGCATTTATTGCTAATTCTAGCCCTCTGTGACTAGCAAAGAGGGGTGAGGGGAGCTGCATTTCATACCCACTAGACTTTAAGAGAGAGTTAGTGGTTAGTTGCAGAGTGTTTATTTCCTTAGACTTGGAGCTTTGAAAGGGGAACTAGATGCATTTGAGAAGGCTAAGTGCGCAGTTACTTTTATCTAAGAAGGGGATTAGAAGGGTTTTCGAGGTGATTAAAATGCTACGATCGCTGACCTGTTACTTTGTATTCTGCAGGGCTCTCTGAAGACGGGAAGATATATTTTTTGGTGTACCAGATTTATTCTTCTTCTGGCTTTGCCTTCATAGCAGAAGACAGACAAACACGGCATTTTACTATGGCAGATGATGAAAATGCCAGTACCGCTGGGATAAGCCAAGGCTGCGACAACAGTAACTGTAATGTACTGAGCTGGGAGCAAGTGCAGAGACTGGATGGCATCCTCACTGAGACCATACCCATCCACGGCAGGGGAAACTTCCCCACCCTGGAGATGAAGCCCAGGCAGATCGTGAAGGTGGTGAGGAGCAGGCTGGAGGAGAAGAACATTAATGTACGGGATGTTCGATTAAATGGTTCGGCAGCTAGCCATATCCTTCACCAGGACAGCGGATTGGGCTTTAAGGATCTTGATCTCATATTCTGCGCAGATCTTAAAGGAGAGGCCGAGTTTCAGACTGTGAAAGACGTGGTGCTGGATTGCCTTTTGGATTTCTTACCCGAAGGAGTTAACAAGGAAAAGATTAGCCCTCTCACCCTCAAGGTAAACAATGCTCGCTGAGCGACCCCGACAACAAACACAGGCTACCTATTCAACCCAGATGTTTTGCTATTAGCCCGTGATATGAAAATAAAGAACCTACCAGTCATTTCCACCCCTGTCATGAGCTCAAAAGCTGAACACAATAGTGATGCAAGGTTAAAAAAACTAGGGGCACAGCAGACTGGTTTACATTTATTAGTAAATAAAATGTGGGTTGCTTGTATCCGTCGGTTTTTTTTTGTTTTTTTTTAGGGGATCAGGCTTTGTGGAGCTTCTAGGAATCAGGGTACCAGTTGACAACATTCCAAAACTAATGTTTCAATCTTGTTTTGAATTTGACTTTCTGGCAGATAAAGTAGTTTCGTTTTTGATTTCATGTCAAAAGGTTGCGAAACCTAAGCCATGTAATGCTTTATTTATTTTTATAATTATTTTTTGTTTGTTCTAGTTCACTTTACTTCTGGTAGTTATATTTAGAAACCTATATTTATTGTACAATTCTCAGCTCATGTGATTGGCTTGTTTGTGTTTATCTTTTCTAGGAAGCGTATGTTCAGAAAATGGTGAAAGTCTGCAACGATTCAGATCGATGGAGTCTAATCTCACTATCCAACAACCATGGCAAAAATGTGGAACTAAAATTTGTGGATTCCCTGAGGAGGCAGTTTGAGTTCAGTGTAGATTCTTTTCAGATTAAGCTGGATTCTCTTTTGTTTTTTTATGAGTGTTCAGAGAACCCAATGACTGAAACCTTCCACCCAACTATTATTGGAGAGAGTGTCTATGGAGATTTCCAAGAAGCCTTTGACCACCTATGTCACAAGACAATTGCCACCAGAAACCCAGAGGAGATCAGAGGTGGTGGCCTTCTAAAATATTGTAACCTTTTAGTAAGAGGCTTCAGGGCAGCATCTGAATCAGAGATGAAGTCTCTGCAGAGGTATATGTGTTCAAGATTTTTCATTGACTTTTCAGACATTGGCGAGCAACAAAGAAAGCTGGAATCCTACTTGCAGAATCACTTTGTGGGATTAGAAGACCGCAAGTATGACTATCTCATGACTTTGCATGGTGTAGTCAATGAAAGTACTGTATGTCTTATGGGACATGAAAGAAGGCAGACTCTGAGCCTTATCTCCATGCTAGCCATCCGAGTCCTGATTGAACAAAACAGTATTCCCAATGTGGCTAATGTAACTTGCTATTACCAGCCAGCCCCATATGTAGCAGATGCCAATTTCAGCAATTACTATATTGCCCAGGTTCAACCTGTCTTCACGTGCCAGCAACATACCTACTCTACTTGGTTACCTTGTAATTAAGATGATTGAAAGGCTTCTTTTAGGAATATACCCACTAAAACAGAAATGGGGATTCCTGATAATTAAAATGGGGAGTGATTTTGTGCAAAGTTGATCTGCTCTAGGTTTCAATCTTTGTGAAGCTTTTGATTCATATAGAATACACAGGAGCCTGATCCAAATTAATTGGGTTCAATCCCAGAGCACAAACAGTCATTTTAAAGTAACGATAGCCTTGCATAGTACAGGAGGAAGGATTGCTTCAAGACTGTACCGGGTGACGGTTCCAGCTCCCTTAATATTTGAATAAGAAGAGGTTGGCAAAAGGTTATGGATTATTCCAGAGGGAGTAATATTCTGATGGAAATCATATTCCTTCTGTATTTAAAGTGCTGGTAGTATACAAGAAGGACAAATATTGAATATTTGAATGACCTTTGTGGTTTACAGCAAGTACTGTCTCTGAATTTTATAGAATGTACAACTTGCTTGCATAGAATGGTATTCCAGATGTGATTTACTCCAAGTGAACCACAGTAGGGTGGTACAGTTCTAAAAACTGTAAATCTTTTGAAGACAAAATACATTATTTCCAGATGTATGCATGATTCACATTTTACAAATGTGACCATGCAAGAGAGTTAGCAGTAGCAAATAAAAGGCTTGAGGACCAAAGATTTCTTAAAGAAATATACCCAAATGAAAGAGTTGAAGAGACTATTTGTATACCTGTTAATTTACTGTATCAAAGTGCCTGTTTCCTTCAGAAAAATTAAGATTACTTGTAGATTTGTGATTGAACCGAACATTTTCTTTTATCAGGGATACGGAAAAAAAATATCTTGTTCATAAACCTGTGATTAACAGTGCAGTAAATGCCCTATTTTTCCTTGGCAAATACTTGTATAAAGTTTTATATGTGAAATGCATATTTGCATATATAAAAAGAGTGTGAGTGTGTGTGTTTCATATGCACCCAAATATATTGAATTGTGGTTTAGCTTAAATGTAGCACTTGGAGAATGCCCATTTAAAGGACGATGTGTGTTGAAGTTTCAACAGGATATAAGTATATTAAGAGTTTGGGATTTTTAAAAAAAATGCTTGCTCATTTGTGTGAAAACACCTGGGTTGCTAAAATTAGTAAAACACATCACTAACAAATTTTATTTATAACCAAGGCAATTCAGTTTATTTCTAGTTATTTGCACAAACTGGTGCATAATCAATCAGCTGAATTCTACAAAAAATATGATTTTATATTCTTACTTAAGCATTTTTTAAGTTGGCAAATCACACCTGACAGCCATTGTAGGCCAACATAAATTTTAGTGGACAATTCTGAATTACTATAGCAGGTTAGTTGTTAATTTCTGTTTTTGTTTTTTGTTTTCTTTATGCAGAATGATTTGATTCATGGTAGGACCACTAGAGGTATTTAACCAGCATTTTGCAAAGAAATGTCTTGCTCATTCCTCTGGGACTGGCACTTACATGGTTAAAGCAAAATAAAAACTGTTGCTTTTATTTTAACTCAGTATTTTTATATATATTCTATCTTCAACATATTTTTCAGTCTAGAGGTTTGATTTTCCATTTCAACCTTTAACACTGTACTGTATTTAAACACCAGTCAATTTCATTATACAAGCTGATCTTTAACTAAAAGCCAGTAAACGGTACTATAACAGTTTTTTTTTTTTGCAAGGGATTTTGTGTGAGGGTTTTGGTCCCTAACCCTTCCATATTTTCCTAATTTATATTATTTTTTTCTTTCAGTACATCCTTTGTATAATTACAATTTAAACTTCTTAGCACAGTCCTTAGATTAAATTGTACCACAAAAAGTAAACTGATACCATGGTAGTGAATAGCTATGCCCAGGTATTACAAAAGCAGCTTATCCCTCTACTCATTTTAAAGCTTTGGCCTGTGATTGCTCTTTCACGGTCTGCTGCATCTATCTGATGTGAAAAGGCCTGACTGAAAGAATAAATATCTGGATTAATTTATTGTTTCACAGCCCTGGCATCATATTAAAGAATTTAGTTAAAATTAGAAATATGTAGACATGATTGTGTCCTAGACCCATCCCCCATTGCAAACTGAGTTAGAAAATGAATTAATTGCACACTGCAGCCCAAATCTACTAACCTTTGATTATTCTGCAATTGTGTACTTATTATAGCAGGAGAACTGCGTATGTCAGGGTTAAGAAAGTGCAAACCCCCCAGGTGTTTTTCTAAACTCCCCATAATTCTCTGTGAGCCATAGGCTTGAAGTAATAAAGGAGTATTAAGGGTGTTGTAGTTCAAAAGCATCTGTTTCTTATTACGTCACATGTGCAATTAGAGGAGCAGTCACAGCATTGTTTGTGAATACATTTATTTTTCCAATGGGTTGGTGACAAACACAATCAACATTTATTACCTTGTAACTTGGTGAACCTGCTGTTGGTAGTTAAACCGAGATATTCATGCATATCCTTGTGCCTGTAAATGATAGCAGGTCATGATTCATATAGCTGAACTGGAAATACATTTATGGCTGACGCACAAAAACAAGCAAAAATATTTTGAACCCCCAGTTACCACCTTAATATAATAATCCCAGCCCTTTTTGTTGCTGACAGGTCAATATTTTTTTTCAGGCCCCTAAGGTCTTCAAAAACATTATTTCTAGAAATAGAAACACTTGGAAATGAATAGAAAATGTGTCCACCCCTTTTCTATTTTGATATTCTGTATTTTTTTCCCCTTTATATATAACATATAATGTATGTGTGTGTGTATGTGTACAAATGCACAGTGTCTTTAAAGATCATTTTAGCAGGAACTTGATATGTTTACTGTAGCACAATTCCTGTGAATTTTGCAGGATCTGTTAAAGCTATTGCACTGTCACTCTCTGTTTGCATGGAAATATCTGGCGTTTTTTGTGACTGCTCTGGTCTGTTTTCTGTTTGGTCAGTGAAGAGCCTTACTTGATTAATTGAGAGTAGGAAGTCTCAGTTCCCAGGACTTGTTCCATCAGACAGACCGTAAATCAGAATTGAGATGGGCTTGTCTATGTCAGAATGGGATCCATAGATATTCATGTTGCTTATGAACTGAATTGAAAGGGATGACTGGGGAAATAGGATCAGCTGGTGATGGGGTATACCTATTCTTGCCACAGCTATTGGCACTGCGTAATTAACTCCTATCTTTATTAAAGGTGTCGGATATAGATGTGCCACAATCAAACTTGTTTACCGATATCCAAGACTTCATAAGATTAAATGGCTATTTAGAGATAATTTTTCTACCTAATTGTATCTCAAATGCATTTATTTTTTAGAATTTATAATTGACTGCAGCCAAGCCAGCTTAGAAGTACAGTCACAACAGCTGTACATAGTCTACATCTTGTATGTTTTATTGTTTTGAAAAATATTCTATTCATGTTGGTTGCAAAATACATTTTGTACAGCAATTAATGAAATTGACTTGTCTATCATCTAACATGTTAGAACTCAGATTTTGCAGGCGAGACAATGCTTCTTTTCAAACTACATGACTCCTTAAAAATTGGCCATTGGAGGATGGATTTATTGCTAATCTATGTGGAGATAAACCCACTAATACAAATGTGATGAAACATCAGATCTCTTTCAAGCCAAGCCATTGTATGTTGTTGCAGAAAAAATGCAGGGATGTAGTTTTTGAGGCAAAGAAAAAAAAATCCCCACCAGCGTCAAACATTTTTGCTTTCTCAAATATTTGCTGTTGCTTCTATATTGCATACTACATTTTATCTTGAGCTTTAATTCTGCAAAATGCTTTTGTACATGAAACGTATTCTGTTGTTAGCTTTACCTTGGGAGCTGGGAGTGAAACGGAAAGAAAGTTCTTTTATTATATATATTTTTTTTTAACATTTCATTGTAGTATGAAAGTTTTGGAAATAATTGCACAGAAGCAAAACAAGAAGAAAAAGTTATATTGTGTGTGGGGTTTCTTTTGTTTTCACAACATTTTTGTAAAGGCAAAATGAAGAGGGGAGGGGGGATCTTTTGCAGTTATAATTTGAGGTTTTGTGTAAGAGTGCCGAAAAAAATAAACAGCTTGACTAGAGTGTTGCAAAATCTTGTAACTTTTAAGGAGGCTATGCATATTTTTTTTTCTCTCCCTTCTTGTCACACAAACACTGCCTTCACAGTGGCATCCTGTTGCATCAAACCGCTCATTGCTTTGCTTTTTTGGAAAACTATAAGGATGGGTTCTGTAAAGGGCAGATGAAACACAAGCATTATGCATCCATGCTTGAGGGAAAGGATTGTAAAATTTGTTTACAGCATCCAATATTTGGATTTTTTTGTAAATAAAAAAAAAATGTTATTTTTTTCTATGGATCTGAGTCTTTATGTGTTTTATTTATTGTTTTACATTATGATTATTATAATTTCTTTTTCTCTGTGGAGTGTTTGAAGCATTATCTTGCTGGGAGGAGCTCAAAAATATCTTTTATTTATGTATTATTCCAGCCAAAATGTGACCAGTGCAGTTCGCTGAGAGGGGATCTAGCTGGAACATGCCAAAGTGTTTTGGCTCTGTACAAACAAAACTTCACGAATAAACTAAAACAACACAAAATATTGAAACTTAAATACGCTTTAAATGATTTATTTATTTTTATTCACTCTCTCTCTCTCTCTCTCTCTCTCTCTCTCTCTCTCTCTCTCTCTCTCTCTCTCTCTCTCTCATAACTTTAACAAAACAGAACACTTTATCCCTTTTATTTTTAATCTCTCTCTCTCGAAATGTTAGTGTGTACTAAACTTTAACAAAACAGAACACTTTATACATAAGTTATTTTTAATCCATATTTAGCTAGAATTGTGATGAACATATTCAGTAATACATCACAACTACTATGTACAATATTTTAAAACAAAATTTGGCCTAATATTACTTAATTGCCAAGCAAAGGTAGGATATTTGAGCTTTGCTCGAGCTAGTTTTAGATGTGTCCCATCCATATTAGTATGTTTTATGCTTGCTTAGTCATTTTAGACTTATGCTGCCATTTTGCTCAAACTTTGGAGCATACTGAAATATGTCCTGTGCATGTACAAAATGGTGAACACCATGTATAGGTCTTATGCAGTTAAGTTTTAATAATGAAGTTCAACCTGCCATGCAGTTTATGCTATAACCAGTTTAAGAGCTCACTTACCGTTCTTTACAGCTTTCAGTATCCAATTTCTAAGTTATTAAGAGCTGACAATGTAACCATTCAAGTTGCATGCACTAATAAGAAGTGGGAATGTGCTCTTTTTCAACTGTAAGACTTTTTCTGATACCTGTATTCAGTGTGTGCAAATATTTCCCGTAATCTCTATCAACATTTTTTTTTTGATACTTGTAAATTATACTGTGATTTTGTTAAATATCTATACACACAGGCAACAATCTGACCTATTTATCTTCTTTATGAAACAACAATGAAATTGAAAAGCTCAATACTAATATTATTACTAAACAAACCTTTTTCCTATCCGGTACAGATCATTGAGCACGCAGAATTTTGTATTCAAAGCTTCATGACCATTACCTTTAATTACTATTATTAAAATTAATATCTAAAGCAGACCGAGAGAAATCGACTGTCTCGATATACAGTGTAATTGTATGAATTTTAGAGCCCCAAAAGACTGTAAAATAGAGAGGAAAAAGAAAGATTTGCTAGCAAAATACAACTTTGAGAACTAAATTATTTTTTTACTGCCTGGATTGAATTGGTCTACTATACAGCACTCACTCATGCCATTATAGGTGTTCCAAGACTACAATTTAAAGGGACACTATAGTCACCCAGACCACTTTATCTAATTGAAGTGGTTTGGGTTCTTTCTCTGTCCCTTTAGCCCTGCGATGTATATTGCAGGGTCAAGACTGCCTCTAGTGGTTGTCTCTAGTCCAGTGTATTCAAATTCCCTTAGGAAAGCATTGACTCCTCCTATTACTGATGTCTGAAGAGGTGGAGACGAAGCTAGCACCAAGGCCAATTTCAACAATATAGCTTTATGCCGGAGCGACCCTATAGTGTTAACCCCTTCTGACCGGAGGACGTACAATTACGCCCTATTTTAGGCGGCTCTAAACGCCGCCGGGCGTAATTTACGCCCTCTGGTTTTTGTTAACTTACCTGGTCGCCGGCGGTCCCACGTCGGCGATCGCGGTGGGGGGGATTCCCAGGGAGCCCCCCCACGGCAGATCCTTCTCCTCCGGTGCTCCCCGGCCATATGAGAGTGGGGTCCTAGCGAAGACCCCACAATCACATGGCTGAGTAGGCTGCCTCCTGCATTGCCAGCAGGGGGGCTGCCTGTAATGACAGGTGGTCCCGCTGCTGGCTGAAAATAAAATGAAAATAAAATTTATTAGTGTAAAAAAAATATATATATATACTTCGATCTCATATATATATATATATATATATATATATATATATATATGATCGAAGTATATATATACACATATACATACACACACGTACACCGTCTAGGTGTATTTTACTATTAATATATATATAATTATATATATATATTAATATCAAATTACACGTAGACTGATACTGATTAAATATATACATAATTATTGTTATATATATATTTATATATAATATAAAAAAATAAATATGTAAATACGTTAAAAAATAAAATTAAAAAAATAATTAAAAATAAATAATTAAAAAATATATAGATGTGTGTTATTTCATTCTAACTGTATTGTGAAATTAATATATATATATATATATATCTCAAAATACACGTAGAACGAAATAATATATATATCTATATACATAAATATATACGTATATATCACTATATATATACCCTATATATAAATAAAAATATTTTAAAAAAATTATATAGATATATACATATATATACACATACGTATATATATACATATATTAATTCTACATATATATTTATGTAATATTTTTACATAATTAGGTATCTTAATTAATTACAATTAGCGGGACCTGCCTGACAACCCATGCCGAAAGTAAAGGGAATTTAATTTGCTAGCACTATATTTAACCCTATAACTTTCCAAGACACCATAAAACCTGTACATGGGGGGTACTGTTCTACTCGGGAGACTTCGCTGAACACAAATATTAGTGTTTCAAAACAGTAAAATGTATTACAACGATGATATCGCCAGTAAAAGTGACGTTTTTTGCATTTTTCACGCACAAACAGCACTTACACGGACGATATTATTGCTGTGATACTTTTTACTGTTTTGAAACACAAATATTTGTGTTCAGCGAAGTCTCCCGAGTACAACAGTACCCCTCATGTACAGGTTTTATGGTGTTTTCAAAAGTTACAGCGTCAAATATAAGGCTTGTTTCATTTTTTTCACATTAAAATTCGCCAGATTGGTTAGGTTGCCTTTGAGACCCTATGGTAGCCCAAGAATTGAAAATTACCCCTATGATGGCATACCATTTGCAATAGTAGACAACCCAAGGTATTGCAAATGGGGTATGTCCAGTCTTTTTTAGTAGCCACTTAGTCACAAACACTGGCCAAAATTGGTGTTTTTTGAATTTTTAACACACAAACAAATACTAACGCTAACTTTGGCCAGTGTTTGTGACCAAATGGCTACTAAAAAAGACTGGACATACCCCATTTGCAATACCTTGGGTTGTCTACTATTGCAAATGGTATGCCATTATGGGTGTAAATTTCATTCCTGGGCTACTATACAGTCTCAAATGCAACGTAACCAATCTGGTGAATTTCAATTTCAAATGTAACGTGCTATATTTGACCCTGTAACTTCCCAAAACGCCATAAAACCTGTACATAGGGGGTACTGTCTTACACATGAGACTTTGCTGAATACAAATATGTGTATTTTATTGCAGTAAAAGCAAACAGTATTATGACATTGACCGTTAAAATGTCATGTAGAACTAAAATTTTTTTTAAAAATCGTATTTTCTCCCATTTTTTTCATATTAAATTATGTTTCATAGCTAAATATTTGATATTAAATGAAAGCCCTGTTTCCCCTGAATAAAATGATATATAATAAGGGTGGGTGCATTTACTATGAAAGAGGTGAATTACGGTTGGACAGACATGTAGCGCAAATGCCAGGTTTTGTTTACATTTTTTTGGTTCACAACGTGTACATTTAGCTCCGTCCTTAAGGGGTTAAATACACTTTTGTATTCTTAAGGCCACTGTGTTCATTTAAACAGCGAATTAGCACACTTGGGCATACCCAGAACATGCAATTCTTAATAAGGGTGCTGCAGTAAAGATCAAAATATATGTAATATATACATTAATGGAATAGTACACACAAAAATACAGTATAATATATTGCAGGGCTACAAAAAAATCACTTAACTTAGCACATATGGGGACCAAATGGTGTGACCAAATCCCCATATTTGCTTGCTACAACAGGTAATTTAGGGTATTGTAGGAGTTTATACTGTATTTTTGTGTGTGCTGCTCTCTTAATGTGTATATTGAACTAGCTTTTCCCAGAATGATTTGCAGCTGCATGCTTTTAGGGAATTCTGGGTAATGTTAAACTCCAACTGGCAGACTGAGCCAAGACACCTTTGTTGTGATGAATAGATTCTTAAACATGACTTAAGCTGTTTGTTGAAAACGTCTTACTGTTCAAAAGCACATTCTCATATACTGTAATTACATGATTGTCTCAGGAACGCTAATAATCAGAGTTAATACATTTTTCAGCCATATGAAGAAATACATCACCAAAACCTGTAAGACTGGCTCAGATACAGATATAGACATTAATAAAACTATAATATACTAAGTATCAGTTCTTCTACTATTCCATTAGGACAACGATCAAGCCAGGTGATAAAACTACCAATTAGAAGAGGTGCTATATGATGCATTGATTACATAAAATGTACTGCAACTTATAATTAGTGGAAATTGCCTAGAAAACTGTCTAGTTGCTCATGCATTTATTTGTTTTCATTCAACACATACCAATTATAATACATAATCCACGGCATACACATGACATCTGTTATCGGCAGCATCCTATGCATGAAGCTTGTTAATCCAGTTTGTGACCATATGCAGGTGGATCCTCGTGATTCATACATCTTTAAAATAGATCTATCATTATTGTATATTAATATGTCACATTTATTGAAGTAATAGTGTATATGCAACGATGACATAACAGAACTTCACGATTTTAGCAATGCATTTCACTGATAAACCTTTTTGCAAGGGTACAGATTGTATTTTGTTTCATGATTTACTTTTGGGTTTCTAAAAAATGGTAAATATGGCTGCAGCAATGGAAACGGAGTGCCCACTGTATGATCAGGAATTTGTACAGCAGTGGTAACAAAGTTAAAGTGATACATACTATAAACACTGAATTTAAAGTACATTTTAAATTCCAGGCCAAAATAGCCAAACTTAAAATATAGCTGCCTTGGGGAATTTTTTCCAATTCAGCTATTTTGACCTAAAATTTTAAATGCACTTTGAATTCCCAGGAATGCACACTTTAGTGAATAACCCTGTGTGTGTCCTCCACCTT